TTTTCCAGTGCAGTTCGTCTTTGGATTTCCTGACTGCTGGTGCCAAGAGTGTTGATTGTGGAGCTGAGCAAGCTGTAATTGTTAACCTCTATCTCTTCTCCATCTATCATGGTGCTGTCAATTGGCAAACAAAGGAGGTGCTAAATAAATGCAGTTCTGGCCTTGTGCAGTCAAACTGATTCTCCACACTATACTCTTTAATCTGAGTGGATTGCTAGGCATTTTCTTCTAGGACAAAGTGCTTAAAATTGCACCACCAGGACCCCTAAATAACTAACAACCATATTATATCCATCGTAAAGCTTGTGATGAGGATTAAATGAGCTAATATATGCCCAGTGCTCTCACAGCACTTGCTGGTACACAGAAAACCCCAAGTCTGTTGATATTATTTGCTATCATTGTCATGACTGTAATGGACTATCAAGAAGTCATCTTGGAACCTCCTACTGCCTCTTCGCTCACATTTGTTGCGTCATCATTCCTGCCAAATTTTCCTCTTAAGATTGTCCCACTTTTTCGAATGTCTGTGCTGCCTCCCTAGGTCAGGCCATGCCTTCCAGGCCATGCCTCTTGGTTCTCACCTGGAATCGAACATAACAATCAACCCACTGCTGTCAGTAAGTTTTGACTCATAGTATCGACCCTCCATCAGGTTTCTGACGGCCTAGTCTTAGATGTTTGTGCTGCTAAACTACAGGCACCACCTCTCTGGTGGTTCGAATCTACCAGTAGCAACTTGGGAGAAAGGTCTTCTTGGTTCCAACTCAACAGCAGAGTGTGTGTGTGTGTGTGTGTGTGTGTGTGTGTGTGTGTGTGAGAGAGAGAGAGAGAGCGCTCAAGCTAATTTTTTATGGGAGAAGACTACTATTCATCTTTCTTCCATGAAGCATCTGGTAGATTAGAAACTGTTAGCCTGTCACCTTCTGCACTGTGTCACTAGGAGTTGAATGCTCATTGTGATGAGGGAGAACATATGTCCTGGGGAACCGTTTGATATCTCAGTAAGGGGGTGTCAGAAAGGACTTAGAGAATTTAGGCTGTGTTTGATGATTTGAGAGAAGTTGAAGAAAGCAGTGCTTTGCTCTGGCTTGGATACTGTCAGTAAACACAGGCAATCCTATTGTAAAAGAGTCCTGGTGTGCTGCTAATTGAAGGTCAGCTGTTCAAATCCACTCTCTGGAGAAAGATGAGCTGTGTTTTCCCATAAAGAAGAAACTGGATAGAAGGTTGGAATTGACGGGTGGCATATATAAAGCTTATGCAGGAGGCGGGTGGATGGAGCAAGGCAAAGGTTGTCATTTGTATGAATATAATGTAAAATGATGTAATATACCATAGCATTCGGGGCCATTGAGTTGGCCTGGATTCATCTGTGTGCCGTGTACAACAGAACCAAAACCTGCCAGCCTGGCCCTGTCCTCACAATTGCTGCTGGCCTTGAACACTGTTGCAGCTGTGGGCTCACATTGTCTCTGTGTGGGCATTTCTTTCTTTTTGCTGACCCACCACTATCCACAGCCTAATGTCTTTCTCCAGGAACTGGCCTCTCCACATAACGTGCCAAAGGATGAGACAAGTCTCACCATCCCTGCACCTCCTTCCAAGACAGACTTGTCTGTTCTTTTAGCCATCATAGTCAATATTTTCCACCCACACCACAGTTCCAAGACGTTAATCAAGTCTTCCGGAGTTAAAGGACCTCTTTATAGTGCTGCAGAGCAAGGCTACCACTTTGAGGACTAAGATGCATTGGACCCACTTTCAATCACATCTTATGCATGTGAAAGTTGGACAGTGAATAAGACCTAACCCTAATGAATAAGATCTAACTCTGACAGTGACATATAAGCCAGGATGTGGGGACGCTTAGTCACTTTGGTGTTTGCACAATGCTCTTGATTATTTCTGTGTTCAGACACGACTGTGGTGTGGTCTTGATTTTTGTCTTGAGCCATCACAGTCACAGTGTGGCCTCGCCTGTTGTGCTATGACATGATGTGTGGTCATGAGGAGAACCCTTGGGTCTCGCTGTGAGGGCCAGGCCTGTTTCTGGTCATCAGGGGTGGGGTTGTTTTTGCGAGGAGACTGCCAGCTCGCTCATTCACCTCTTCTACACTCCTTTTCCCCTTTTTGACACAGAAGTTTCACTGGTTTATCACCTTGGTTTCTTGGAAGAATAACATGCATTCACTGAAATACGGAGCAGAAAGCTTGGCAACTCTTTCCAGAGCGGACTCAATTCCACTCCACAGTGACCTACCTGTGCAGGGTACACCTGTCCCCTGGAGCTTGCAAGGCCCCTTTCGAAGCAGTCTCCAGACCTGTCATCTGAGGCACATCTGGAAAGTTTTCATGACCAATCTTATAACTCATTGCCATCAAGTCAGGACTGCCTCATAGCTGACCCTCCAGAGGGTTTCTGAGCCTGTAAATCATGTGGGAGAAGAGTGCCCATCTTGCTCCCTGCAGAACTGCTGGTGAATTGAAACCCCCAGAGAGGGTTTAGCAATGTCATTTTCTACTCCGACTATGCCATCAGAACCTTGATTTATACAACTAGGGAGCTATTTGAGCCATCTGGGACTCTGCCACATAGTTGCACGCACATGTAACTATCATCCAGAGGAAGATGGGGAGCATTCTCACAGCCGCCCCCTCTGGGGCAGTGAGGAAGCTCTGATGGCCTAGTGGGTAAGAAGCTGCCCTGCCAACCTAAAGGCATCCTTAGGAGAAAGACCTCCTTTTCCTTCTGTACAATCTCCTTCTGTGTGATTTACAGCCTCTGAAAACCCCCTGGAGGGTCAGCTGTGAGTTGGTTCAGACTCCACGGCACACAACTAGGGCAACACCCTGCCAACGGTAACTGCTGTTCTGATCTCTTTCAGGCTGGTTTGTGTTTATTTTTAGGGATTTTTTTTTCTTTCTTTACTTACTTGTGATTTGAGTAAAACCATACAAAGCGAAATTCAATCACTCAGACACGTTTTGCTTTTTGACGTCAATGAAAATCACCACAATAGGAGTGTGCTCTACTACAATGAATGCTTGAAGACTTGTGTGTCACACTGGCTTTGTACGGTTGCAATTTCAGTGTATGTGCTAGTGAAGATGGTGGCACTAGGGTTTTCTTTGCTTAAGAATTGTCACACACACACACACACACACACACACACACACACACACACACATATGCAACATAACACATGCCAATTGAATATTTTTCATTCAGAAACATTCTACACCACCTACATCAGTCATGGATACTTTTGATGATTCTAGAACTTCATGTGAACGGAACAACACAGTATGCTGTTTTGTTGAGGGTTTTGCTGTTGTTAGGTGCCATCCAGTCAACTCAATTCACAGTGACCCCATCCATTTACAATAGATCAAAACGTTACCTGAGGCCATGCTGTCCTCACAACCTTCCTGCATTTCCACCCATTGTTGCCATCTTTGGATCAATCCTTCTCCTTGAAGGTCTTCCTCTGCTTCATTGATTAAAGCTGCTTTAGGTCAGCTTACGTTGGACTGCCAAGAAAACAAACAGATTCATCCTAGAGAGGGTTAAACTAGGCTGCTCCTTGGAAGCAAGGATTCTGGGGCTTTGTCTGACATACTTTGGACATGTTGTAAGGAGAGACAGGTCTTTAGAGAGGGACATCATGCTGGGTAGAGTAGAGGGACAGCGCAGGAGGGGAAGACCCTCTATGAGGTGGATTGATTCAGTGACTGGGGTAATCGGGATGGGTGTGTCAGAGGCAATGAGATTGGCACAGGATAGAGCACGGTTTAGGGCTGTTGTACCTAGGGTCGCTATGAGTCGCAAACGACTCGACGGCACATAACAACAACAACAACAACATGTTGTTTGCACATTGGGATAGTTTGATCTTTTGCAGTGTGGATAACCAAGGTACTACTGGATCAGCTGTTGGACCAATGAGCTTCCCTTTTCTCATTCACTTCTTTGTGGCTGTTTGCTATTTTCCCGAGCGCTTATATTGAAAAACAAAACTTACTACACACTTAGTGGCTGAGACAGACGCCCAAGATTCTCTACTTCTTTGAGCACAGGTTCTGGTTTCTTCTCAGAACTTTAGAGGTCCTGCCTTGCTCTTCTGCCTCAGTTTCCACCTTTCTCTCCCTTGCCCTCTGGGCTCCAGGCGGAGGAGTCTGCTTTTTGCATCATGGTAGGCAGCGGATTCTCTAGGTTTTTACTATGTGGCATCCCTGGCTTCTCTAAGTCTTTGTCCACCCTGCATCCTCCACCTGCTCGTTGCCAGCTCTCCCTCCACTTGCTTTGCTCGGCCAATCCCTCAACGTCTTTGAGGTCACACTGGAGTTGCCAGGCACAGGAAGCCCTCGCTGATGGGCCTGGTCCTCTAGACGCCACACCCCTGTAGTTCCCCCAACTTTTCCCATCACTGTCCTACTCTCAGTTGTAAATAACAATTTGTCCAAATATTTGTTTTGACTGCGAGCTTCACGATGGCATCACGCAACCCCAAGCCTAGTCCACACAGTATGTGCTGTTATGTGAGATGGAGTCGGAATAGACTCATAGCTGACCCTCCAGCAGGCTTTCAGAGGCAGTTAATCGCCAGGGAGGAGTAGCTGGTGTATTTGCATCGTCTGCCTTTGAGAGTTGGCAGTACAACTCCTTACTGACTAAGGCCGTCATTTAAGAATTCATGGAAGGTTGGGTTTTGAGGACTCAGCCTCAGCCCCCTCCTCTATGCAGCCTTTCGCCTAGGACAAACCCCCCCCTCGAAACTTGCCTCCCCCCAATCCCTTTTTGGCAACTGCACGTGGCAGGGGTGATGCACCTGGAGTGAGGGCCCCGCCCCGCAGCGGACGCTGACTTGGTCTGGTTGGGCAAGATCAAGGTTGCCTAGGGGGAGGTTACTCATCCCAGGCCCAGGTAAGAGGGCCGGGGTTGGGAGGCGGCACACCCAGGGGGGACGCCGAGCGAGCAAGACCTAGAAGACCTAGTCATGGGGCCCGCCAGGACAGCGAGCGCTCGGGAGGTGCTGTGGGCCACAGGCGGGCTGCTGCTGCTGCTCGGGCTGCTCCCGGAAGGTGGGTTCGCGCTGGAAGCGGGCGCAGGGGGTGGATCTAGACGGGAGGTCCCCAGTTCTTCCATCCTGAGCAGTGGGGGGCCTCAAAGGGGAGCCTCAGTCTGGGGAGGGGCTGTGAGGGGAAATCCCTTCTCTTCCCCCTTTCCTGGACGAGAGGATTGAGAGGGAAAGAACTCCCGTAATAAACAGAGGGGTCTGTGAGGAACATCTTTGTCCTGGGCAGATGGAGCTGTTGTTCCATCACTTGGGAAAAGTTTTGCCATTTTCAGAAGCGGGCTTTGAGGAGAACCTTTTGTTCTGCAGGGAGATTGGGAGAAAGGTGTTTTCCCCATCCCTCAGGCAGGAGGGCTGTGGGAAGGAAGAAAATCTGCCGTCCTGAGCAGAGGGGGCTGTGGGAAGGGTCCCCAATCTTAAGCAGAGAAGATTGTGCAAGGGGACACTGAGTCGAATAGGGAAAAGTTAGTTCTCCATCCAGAACAGAGAGTTGAGGTTCTGTGGCAGAGCCCTCGCCCTGACAACCCCAACATAAGGGACAGTGAGAAGGGATTTGAGGCGCAGGGGGCTTGCAGGAAAGGGTCTCCAGAGTTTTGGGAAGGCTTTCCCTGCTCCTGGCCTGGCTGACGTTGCGTAGGGAAGGACGGGCTCATCTCGCGGACGGGACAAAAGGGGTGGGAAGCGCTCCCTTCTCGGGGGAAGAGACTCCCGCATCGTTGGCTCAGGTCTGCGGTCCCACGTCCCCAGGAACGCAGGCCCTGGAGTGCTACAGCTGCGTGCAGAAAGCCGACGACGGCTGCTCTCCGCACAAGACGAGGGCAGTGAAGTGCGCACCGGGCGTGGACGTCTGCACCGAGGCCGTGGGCGCGGTGGAGACCAGTGAGTTGGGGATGGCGCGGAGGGGACGCGGTGGAGACCAGGGCGTGGGGCTCGGGGGTCCCGGTGAGGTTCCCCCTCTGCATCTGGCCACACCCCTCTTGCGCGCCGCTGAGCCCTTCACCCCCGATCCCATCCCAAGGTTTAGGGGGCTGAGAGTTGCTACCCGAGTGGGGCGGCCGAGGAAGGCCCGGGGTCTGCAGCCTCGCCCACCTTTCTGCGTCCTCACCCTCTTTGCGGGTACACCTTACACATTTCGTCTCCACCGCACACACTTCCCTAATGGAGTCGTTTGCTCTTGACCCAGATTCCTACATACGATAAGGCCCGGGGTGATGGAAGTCCCCTCTCAGTTGTCGGCTTCTAGATTCTCCAAAGGCGGTGGCCCCGCCCCTCAGTGGAAGCCCCGCCCTCAGCAGGCTCCGAGTTCCGAGGAGGCCCCGCCCCTTTAGGGTCAAAAAGCTGCTAGCTGACCCTTCAGTGTGTTTTCAGGGGCTGTACATCCCATGAGGGCGGGGGGGGGGGCGGGGGGCGATTGGCCATCTCTTTCCTGCGGAGCCGCTGGTAGATTCGAAGCGATAGAGAAGCACCACATTTTGATTCGCAGCACAACTTGGCATGGACTAGGCCACCAGAGCGCCCCCTTTTAGAGAAGGTTGATGAAACTTGCCTGTCAAAGGTCACTTCCCTTGAAGGTCCATCCTTCTCTAATCCTTTGCTTTTTTCCGATGGCCAGTCTTTCAGTTCCTCTGATGAGTTTTTCTGCTCTGTTGCCCTCCTTGGTCATAGACGTGCCCTGCGCCAGTCGTGGCCCTTCGTCTCTGTCTTGTATCTGACAGCCTGTTTCCTTCTTCCGGTTTTCCCTCTTCTAATCTGCTCCGAGACCCTAGTCCTCTTACTCTGGATTGTCTGGTCTCTGTCAGTTGTCCTGCAGCCATTGCTCCTTCAGGTGACCTTACATGTGCAGGGTAAAACTGCCCTATCGAGTTTTCAAGGGAGCTCTGGTTGCTTAGGTGGTAAGGGGTTGGGCTGCCGACCCAAATGCAAGCGGTTCAAATCCACTAGATGGGGAGAAAGACAGGCAGTCTCTTCCTAAGTGTGATTTACAAATCCACTGGATGCCTATGTGTTGTTTCCAACTCTACGTCATGTAATAAGAACAATAGGGTTTTCAAGGTTGTGCCTTTTTAGACCCAGATTGCCAGGCTTGTCTTCCAAGGCACCTCTGGGAAGGTGTGAATGGCCAACTTTTAGTCCAGGGCTAACCTCTTGTGCTACTCAGGGACCATCCTCCTAGAGGTTTCACCCCTATGAAGCCTTGCCCTCCTCTGCGCCTCCCCCCCCTCCACAGTCCATGGACAATTCTCAGTGGCTGTGCGAGGATGTGGCTCAGGACTCCCCGGGAAGAATGACCGAGGCCTGGACCTTCACGGGCTCCTGGCGTTCATCCAGCTGCACCAATGCTCCCAGGACCGCTGCAACACCAAACTCAATCTCACCTCGCGAGCACTCAACCCCGCAGGTGCGTGGGGGCGACAGCTACAGCAAGGCTGAGAGGCTGGAATGATGGTAAACTAGAGGCAGGGCTGCCATAGCAGGTTGGCCAAGAGGTGGTTGCTGTAGACAGATCGGAAGTTAGAGACTGTGGGCGGGACTATATGGGAGGGAGCGTGGCCAGAGAGTGGAGCAGTGGTCTGTTGAAGGCCTGAGGACGCGAGCTGGAGGGACCAGGAGGACCTCCGATTCTCTATCCCTCCTCTTCATCCCGAACAGGGAATGAGAGTGCTTACAAGCCCAACGGCGTCGAGTGCTACAGCTGCGTGGGGCTGAGCCGCGAGGCGTGCCAAGGCACGGCGCCACCCGTCGTCAGCTGCTACAATGCCAGCGACCAGGTCTTCACGGGCTGTTTCGATGGCAATGTCACCTTGACAGCAGGTGAGCGAGCCTCCGGGCAAAGGGGTCTGTGGGAGTTGTGGGATGTCGTGGACGATGTTGTAGGTAGACTGCTACCCAAAGGATTCCTCACCTCCAGTGCACTTTGTGATCTCTAATCCTAGGTTCTTTAGCGCCTCATGCCCCCAGTATATTGATGGGGTGTTTTTGTTTTAGACTTAGCTGAGTCAGTGCATTTCCACAGAGGGCTTGACTAATGCAGAATGTAATGACGTGCTATGAGCAGTATATTTAAGCCTTTCGTGGCCTAGTGTTAAGAAGCTGCTCTGCACTTCCAAAAGCACTTATTTCGAATCCACCCGCTGCTCTGCAGAAGGCTGGGCAGTCTCCTCCTGTGTGATTAACTCTACTCTGTGTGATCAGCTCTTACTCACAACAAACTCCTGTCCAGATGCTGGGATAATAGGGTGCTTGTTACTTGTGTTGAGGTAACTCATCACTGACCCTCCAGAGGGATTTCAGAGGCTGTAAACGGCACATAGAGAGATTGGAACCACCTATCTTTGGGTTGGTAGGATAGCTCCTTACACATTCGGTCCCTGGAACTTCCTTATGGGGTATTGGTCTCTTAAATTCAGCCCCATTCAGGTTCCTTCCAGTCTCAGAGCATTAGGATAGAAGTAGCTCAGCTTCCTAGCCTCAGCCTCAGGGAACCATAGAAGATAATGCTCTCCAATCTTCTTCCTCTGCCAGCTGCACTCTGGACACTGAGACTCTTGAGGATGATGAGAAGACAACCTAGAGAGGGTAGTAGGAGGATAAGGTGGAGAGGGAAGTTCACGTTGCTAGGCTCTTTGTTTGCAGTCCATGTGCACCATCGAGTTGGAACCCAACCACAGCTGATCCTCCAGTGGCTTTTCAGAGGCAGTTAATTACTTGGGAGGAGACTGCCCATCCTCTCGTGGAGCAGCTGGTGGATTCTAACTGCGTACCTTGGAGATTGCAACACAGCTTCTTACCACTAGTCCACCTGAGGTCAAACCTTTCTTCTAATGCATTGTGGGAAATGTGCACAAACTGTGGCTTAATGTTTCTCAGAATGGGGCTTGACGTTTTGGATTAAGGGGTGCAAGGGTTCTTCTGTTTCCCATTTTTTAAGGATCTCTGCTCCCTTCTTACTCCTGCTGTTGTTGTTGTGTACCCTCTGGTGGGTTTTCAAAGACAGTTTAATGCCATGGGAGGAGATTACCCATTCTCCCGCAGAGTAGCTGATGGCATCGAACCGCATGCGTTGGGGATTGCCATGCAGCTTCTTGCCACTCGGCCATGAGAGCTCCCTTCTAGCAGCCTTAAATTTCATTGTGTCTTGCCAACCCCTTCCCTCTAACTACTGACCAATCTCTTGTGTCTCTCCTGCAGCCAATGTGACTGTATCCTTGCCGGTCCGGGGCTGCGTCAAAGACGAGCAGTGCACCCGTGACGCCGTTACTGGTCCCGGGTTCATGCTCAGTGGTTCCTGCTGCCAGGGTTCCCTCTGTAACTCTGACCTCCGGAACAAGACCTACTTTGCCTCTCGAATCCCGCCCCTTGTACTGTTGCCCCCTCCGGAGACCACCTCTGTCACCACGCCCACCCCTACCCCAACAACCCTCGCCCCAAGCACATCTTCCTCCACTACCAAACCGAGCCCTGCCCCAACCAGCCAGACTCCTCCGCACGAGACAGAGCATGAGGCCTCCCACGAGGTAGGGCCTCACGTGGCTGGAGGTGCTCCTGGCCACCGAGACCGCAGTAATATGGAACAGCATCCCTCAAAAGGTGGGGCTCAGGACTCTTTTAATGGCTGTGCAGCTCGCTTGGTTGGACTGATGATATTTCTATTGGTTGTGGCTCCTGGTGCCCAACTATGAGCTTCTCCGTCTGTGGACCTCACCCTTGTCCCACTTCCTAGGCCCTGGGCACCTCTCTCCCTATTAAATTTCCCTGTCCTCCCAGTGGACTGGGCTGGCCCAGCCCCTGTTCTAATCTCCCCAGGAACTTGAGCTTCCACTGCACTGGTTTGCAGTTTGAGGAAATAAATTACCCTTGTATATAATCTACCAGGGTTTTCTAGATGTTTCGGGGCATTTTAACTGTATCCTCCTCATCCCTGGCTCTCTTTTGTCCCTCTTTGGTGCCCAGAACACAGTGATAGAAGTCAGAGGTGTTGTCAGAAAGCAGGGAGAGATAGTGGTCAGCTTCCCATTTGCTTTCTTGCAGCCAGCCTGAAATACAGGGGTGGAAGGGTAGGGATATTGGCTCCTCCTCTGGTCACTGCTGCCCCCAGCCCTCCATCTTTGTGGGAATCATGTGCCATTTGGCCACTTGTACTAGCCTGTGAGCTCCTCAAGGGCAGGGACTGTCCCTAAGGGCTCTGTGTTGCCAATTTCAGAGGCTGAAAGGACTCAATAAAAGTTAAGCTACTTTGTATAGTGTTTTAAAAGGATTCATTTCCCCCCTCTCATTTCTCATTATATCTTGAAGCTGATCTAAGGCAAGAAACACCAGTGCCTTTACTGGAGATGCTGGGGAGCTCTAGGGCCATTGTCCCTAGCCCGTTGCCCTGCTAATCCAAAGGGCTTGTCTCTGTTAGTTTCCTGAATCCACCAATCAATGGTTTCTTGGGAGAAAAATGGACAATCTCATGTGGTATGATTTACAACTTCCCAAAAATCTGCTGGAGGCTCACCTATGAGTCAGTTCTGATTTGATGGCAAGGAATTTGAGTTTTTTACTGGAGATGCTGAAAGCTAGAACTATAGCCCTGGGGGGAAATTGAGGATTGAGGTCCTATGATTTCCTGGGAACTAGCTCGCTTTCAAGTATAGTGCTTTACAGGTTAAGCTAACTAAAACTTTGAGAATTCCAGCCCCCAGCTCCTCTGCAGGAGAAGTCTGAGGCAGATTACTCCCAGAAAGATCTGCAGCCTTCGAAACACTATGGCGTAATTAGGTTCTGACCTAGAGGGTCCCTTGTCACAGCCCACCTGTGGGTTTTCAGAGACTTTAAATCGAATGGGAGGAGACTGTCCCCATCTTTCTCCCTCAGAGCAACTGGTAGATTTGAACTGCTTGCCTTGGGGCTGACAGCACAGCTCCCAACCCACGATGCTACTTGAGCTCCCTGATAGCATCACTTAGAATTGGGATGGACTTGATGGTAGTGAGTTTGTTTTTCGGTTTAGCCACCTTGTAAGGAGTCCTGGTGGTGCAGTGGGTTATGCACTGCCTTTCGGGTGAAAGAGGAGGCCGTCTGTTGACGTAAAGATTACCCGTGGGAACCCAAGCAGCAGTTCCACCGTGCCTGTGGCTGTGAGGTGCTGTTCAGTTGAGTATGACTCACAGCGACACTGTGAACAACGGATCCCTGTCCTATCCCGTGCCATCCTCACACTCTCTGCCACACTCAAGCCCATTGCTGCAGTCACTGTGCAGTCCACCTGGTTGAGTGTCTTCCTCTCTGTTGCCGCCTCTCCACCTTCCCAAGCATAATGTCTGTCTCCAGGGAATAGCCTCTCCTAGCAACATGACCGAGGTGTGTGAGTGTGACATGAAGCATCGTCATCTTTGCCTCCAAGGAGCACTCTGGCGGCACCTTCTCCAAGACACATCTGTTTGTTCTTTTGGTAGTCCCTGGGCTAGTCGGAGCTCTTCTCCAACACCACAGCTCAGAGGCATCAATGATCTGTTGTACATACAGCCAACTATGAGTTGGAGTCGCCTTGGCTGGCACCTGACAACAAACGCAATGGGTTGAGGGAGAAGCTCTGGTGGAAGACTAAGTGCTGGGCTGCTGCATGAAAAATTGTCAGTTCAAACCCACCAGCCACTCTGGGAGAAAGTGGAGGTATTCTCCTCCGGTTAAGATCTATAGCCTTGAGACCCCATAAAGCGTCACCCTGCGTCTGAATAGACTTGACACAGTTGGAGCCCTGGATATGTGGTGTTTAAGACTCAGGTGCTAAGTGAAAGGTCGACAGTTTGATACTTGAGAAAAGTGAGGGAGGGGCCTGGAGACCTGTCCTTGTGAAGATGAAAAACGGGGAAAACACCCCTCATTGCTGTCCAACTGAAACCAAATCACAGCTGGCCCTCTGTTGTATGGCAAGCCTGTGAATCACATGGAACAGATGCCCGTCTGTCTACCCAGCAGCCACTGAGAACCATCACAGAGGCGCTGCCTTCAGATTGGCAGCTCAACGCCTTCCAGACTTGGCCACCAGCCCAGCAGACCCATGGAGCAGTCCTGCCCTGTCCATAAGGCCACTGTTATTGTGCGCCATCAAGTAGGAACCAACCCACAGTTGACCTTCCAATGGGTCTTCAGAGACAGTAAACTGCATGGAGATTGCCCATATTTCTTCCTCGGGCAGTTGGTGGATTGGAACCATGTGTCTTTGGGATTGCAGCACAGCTCCTTACCACTAGGCCACCAGAGCTCCCTATAGGGTCACTCTGAGTCGGGATGAATTCCACCACACAAAACAATGACAACTGCCAACTTGGGGAGGCCCTGCTGATCAGGGGGAGACTGGGCGAAACCGTTGAGCACAGGAGTGATTTTTTTTTAAAGTTTTAATTTTTCACAGTGCTTTGAGGCAGAGGGGCTCCCTCGGTGGTGCAAATGTGTAAAGCACTGGGCTCCTAACCTGGAAGTTGCAGACTGAGAAGTACCTTGGAGGAAAAGGCTGGCTATCCATTTCTGAGAACTTACCCATTAAAACCCCGCCGGAGCACAGTTCTGCTCTGAGACACATGGGGTTGCCATAAGTTAGAATTGTCTCAATGGCGATGGGGAACTGGTGGGAACCAGAGGAAAGCTGTGTCTAATGTGGACTCTCTCCACACTCCACCCACCTTCCCGTCATCTGGTTCGTTAGAACTCAATCTATGAGCTCACTCTCTGTGTCTGCTTCCCCAAAGGGGTCAAGAGTGATGTTGTTTACCTCTGCTGTGTGATGGGTGACTGGGGCCTGAGTACCTCTTTCATTTCTGTCCAATAAGCTGAAGGCCTGGACTTCGAGGCCCCAGGGAGGAAAAATCCTGGCTTGGGGTTGAAGGATGCTGGTAGATTTTGGGACTGTTTTATGGGTGGAGGATTGGCTGTGGGGAATCAAAGGTCAAAGTCATTGCTGTGGAGTCTGAGCTTTCAAAGGCTGTTTCCTGCAGCAGTGGATCTGATGGATAGTGATGTTGTCATTATTAATGTTGTTGTTGTTGTGTGCTGTCAAGTTGCCTGCAACTCATAGCAACCCTATTTTACAACAGCCCTAAACCCTGCTCTATCCTGTGCCAACCTCACTGTCTCCGACATACCCACCCTAATTACCCCAGTCACTGAATCCATCCGCCTCATAAAGGGTATTCCTTTCCTGCACTGTCCCTCCACCCTCCGAACCATGACATCTTTCTCCAGGGTCTGGTCCCTCCTTGCAACATGTCCAAAGTATGTCAGACGAAGCTTTAGAATCCTTACCTCCAAGAAGCAGCCCGGTTTAACCTTCTCCAGGACGAACCTGTTCATTCTCTTAGCAGTCCATGGTTTATTCAATACTCTTCTACAGCATCACATCTCAAAAGCACCAATTCTCCTTCTATCCTCCCTAGTCATTGTCCAGCTCTCTGACGCATAGCAAGTGATTGCAAAGACATGCCCTGCATAAGGCACACCTTAGTCTCCAGAGTGACACCATTGCTCTTCAGTACTTTGGAGAGGTCCCTAACAGCAGACTTTCCCACCACAATACCTCTTTTAATTTCTTGGCTGCTGGTGCCAAGAGTGTGGAGCCAAGCAAACTAAAGTTGTTAATAATCTCAATCTCTACCATCCATCCTGATGCTGCCAATTGGCCCAGTGGTGAGAATTTTTGTTTTCTTGATATTGAGCCTTAAACCATATTGTCCTTGACCTTCTGCAGCAAATGCTTCAGGTTCTCAGTTTCAGCGAGCAGGGTTGTGTCATTTGCATAAGGAGATTGTTGATGGATCTTCCTCCAATCCTGATGCCACACTTCTCATACAACCCAGCCTCCCAAAGGAGATAGGACACATCCCTGGCGTACACCCTTCCCAATTTTGAACCATGCACTGTTTCCTTGTTCTGTTCTGATGACTGCCTCCTGGTCCAAGTATAGGTTTCACATTAGCACGATCAGATGTTCTGGAATTCCCATTTTTCTCAGAGATAGCCACAGTTTGTTGTGATCCACACAGTCAAATGCCTTTGTGTAATCAATGAAACACAGATAGACTTTCCTCTGGTACTGCCTGCTTTCAGCCAAGATCCGTCTAACATTAACTACAATATCCCTAGTACCATGACCCCTTCTAACCCCAGCCTGCACTTCTGGCAGTTCTCTGTGTGATATGCTGTTCCAGTCATTTTTGGATAATCTTCAGCAGAATCTTGCTTGCATGTGATATCAGTGATATTGTTTGATAATTTCCACACTCTGTTGGATCACCTTTCTTTGGAATGGAAACAAATATAGATCTCTTCCACTCATTATTAATAGTGGGCAGTAATATAAAAAAAGAAATAGTAACAACAAAATAGTAAATAATGACTTTAGTTACAAAATATAGAATTAATAAGAGCATGAACAACAATAAAAGGGGTTTGCTGTTCTTGTTGCCATCGAGAAGCCTGCAACTCATAGCGACCCATAAACAATAGCTCTGAAGCCTGCCCTCTCCTGAGCCAGTCTCACTCACTCTTGTTGCAGAACATTGGGGAGCAAGGGAGGGCCTCTGGCCAGGACAGATCACCTAAGCTCCAGAGAAATGCAAGCCAACCAACGGCTTTTAATAGGGGATAGAGAAAGCTCTCCTGTGTTTGGCCGTACCTGCTTGAGAAAGCTCACCACCTGGGA